TTTTAATCATGTCATCAAGTTGTCTCTGGAGGTGATTTCTAAATCGATCCGTAATCTGTCAAACTGAGCTACAACTTAAACAAGATATCTATCTTTGTTAATATCATTAATATTTATGGTTGTAGTAAATAAAACCTTTTTTGCCGACTGATTCTTTTAGTCATATGAGACTGACTTTATATATGGACTGGTGGTCGAGTGGTCAAAGTAGTCGAACTACTGTATCAAAAGCCAGTCAACACTGAGGTTGTGAGTTCGAATCCCGAACCTAACTCCAATCTCAATTTTCTAGGATTGTCAGTTTTCATAAAACTAAAGTGTAAAAGAAATATGGTTATTATCTCTTTAACGTATTTCTCCTTGTTATTTTATTTTTCACATATTCACAATTCAACATTTCAGATATGGATGAGCATATTGTACTTCTGATTGTGACACTTATTCTTCTGACATTCGAAAAGAAGAATTGCACGCCCAAGCATATGTTATTTGATTTTAAGATTTAAATATTTCTTTAACAATTATGTCTATTTGCCCGTGTCCTTAACACGGCAATGATTAGCAACGAACCCTGCATAAATATTTATCATGGAAACATGCTTTAATATTTTGCTATATCGACAGCAAACATAAAATTAATGGTATCTTCAAATAATAATGAAATTAATTTCAAATCCAAAAGACTAGAAGACAAGAATGAAGAAATTGTTCAGCTTACATCCTCTTAGAATGTTTTTGAAAAGAAACTTGGTGATGCTCAAGATGAAATTCTCCAACTAAAATCCTAAATGTCAAAATTGCTAGATGAAGCAAAAGGAAGAAGTTAGAGATGTTACCCAGGCTAGGCCAACACTTTTTATAGGAACATCTAACATACAAGGAATACTTAAAGAAAAATTAACACAAGCTGTGGATACTTCAGAAGTATTATCAACGTTCACTGATACTGCAGACATGCTGGTTCTTCTCTCGTTAACAAATGAAATAAAATCAAAGCAACCTACCAAGTGCATTGATAGACTTTTTGATATCGTAACTGAAGCATCAGCTAAATGGGCACTACTTTAATGCATCGTCTCATTCACAACTCCAAGTAGGAACAACTTGACAATTTTCAAAAATGCTCAGATAGTTAATGCTTTACCTAGGCAAAAATTCAGGGGTGTCGACAATATTCACTTCGCCAACCATACCAATATGCTCATAAATGGAAATCCTAATAACAATCTGCTTTGCGAGGATAAAATTAACTTAAATGAAAAAAGAATATCAATACTTGCAAGCAACACCAAAAGAACAACACAAACTGTGTTGCACATTCCTATACCACCTACAAGATCCCGAAGTAAATCGAGGCAGAGACAAAACTGGGGACGAGGTCGTGGGCGTGATCATGACTGATTCTTATTGATTTGTGATCATCATTAGAAGTCTCAATGGAATGATTTTTTAGTTTAAGCGCAAAACCATATTATTACAATCCTTATTTAATGTGTTGTAATGATTCTTGTCTTATTTTATTTTTTTGTCTGATAATCTGCTTATTCTATTTCAGTCATTGCCACTATTATAATATAAATAATAAGATGTGGTATGAAAAGTCTGTTTTTAATTGACACTTATTTTATTTTTAATTACTTTTAACTTCCCCAGCGTTACAAATACGTTCGTACACAATTCCAAATTCAGTTACGCTAGTCTGTGCTGACATCAGATAGTGTCGAAACAAATTTCGAAGACTGGATTGTTTTTTTTAATTTTATTGAGTTCTGTTAAGACAATGAGTTTTAAAAATTCCTTAGCACTAAAACGTTCAGATAAGTTTTCCCAATATTACGACTTTTGAACTTGTTCAATTTTGAAAGCCAAAGTCGGAATAAGGTCTTCCTGTTAAGCATATGGGAATTATCAATTAGTCAAAACATTTTGAAAATGGAGATACTTTATGGAAATTGATGACGAAAAAGTGCAGTTTCAAGCTATAATCATGGCATTAACATTTTAAAATACCACCTTAAAAAATCATTGTAAATGTAGGTGTTTTCTTGATTTACCTTCACCAAAATTCATCTTGCATGAAATATTTGCCACTGGATCAAATTAATTGCATTAATAACTGCACGCTAAATTTTCTGAATTTACAGTATCATAATTTTATTACATATAGTTTAAAAGCGATATTTGTATTTTTTGAATAAAATCCTGGTCTATATAAGTAGTACCTGATCATTTTTATCAAGATATGGCTATTATGAAGTTGAAATATGTTTGATGAAACACGGAATGTTGAAGGAATTGTAGCATATGAGGCAGACAAAGACTTCGTAGAAACTATGGCTTCAAATAGCACTGGAGGTTTGAGCTTTGTATAAGAATGGATAATAGGAATTATTATCCAATAAGGAATTTGCCACCAGCATCTTTTGATGAAAAATTATTGTGACAGAATATTTTACTTCAGTGAGAAAAAAAGATCGGTCAATTTCTTTGCAGCGAGGTTTTTGTAAAGCAGCCAAAAACAATATTATACTTTTCTGAGACTGTTGGTGAAGTAAAAAATTATGTGTTAAAGTTGATAGGATAATCTGGTTCTTTGAAATATCTCATATAGTAGCGTTTATGTTGATAGATTTTATTTCAGTATCAGGCAGTTAATCTAATGTTGCAAGCTGTAATAATGTCTCTATAACAGTGACATGTGCAATGGTTGACTTCCTAGGCATGTGAACAAAAGATGACGCTATAAAAAATCCAGTGTTCATGTTGAAACCATTCATATAGAAGACATTCATATCTGATTCATGTACACGTCAAAATAAACCTCCAGTCTTAAATTGACCAGTTGTGCATTGCAAAGAGAGTATTACCAGATCTGTAGGTAGGGGTAGTTGTGCATGTATGTTGTGCGTTTTCCTTTCGATAACATCAGTTACATACCTTTTAACATACGTTAACTATGTATACAGGCATGAATCTATATAGTGCAATTAATTGTTGCAGATGTTCAATCACAATAGTGTCACTTGTATTTATTCGGAGATTGCTTTGATCAACTGAAAAACACCCGAATCCAATAATTTAGTGCTAAATCCAATCAACGTGTAGTTTTCTTTGGAATTGTAAATATATTTTCATTTTCTCAACTAGGATGAAATATTCAGACTACAATATATTAAAAGCAATGTACTTAAATTTTATCTTCTTTTTCTGTTGTGTTGATTAAAACTAAAGAAAACAAAAGTAAAGATAACTTAAAAGTAAAGATAACTAAAATGAAAACTTCAATGCCAACTGAAATTGACAACTATAGTGCGGTAATTGACAACCTTAGTAACCTAGGCCTTAATACCTAGAACCCCCACTCGGACATCTACTCCCTAAGACACGGATTTACCGATTAGTTGAAATTTTGTGTAACCTAGATTCTTCTTCAGCAAATTATCGTTAGAACAACAATGATCACTACATCAACATTGGGAAAATATACAAAATTGTATATTTCTCAGTGGAATCACCTCATTCCAATAATGGTCATTTGGTAGGCAGGGAATAATTTTGCACTGGACATACCATATTCTCAATTTATTTTACTTAACCGTTGTAGTTTCCATTAAATTATGAATACATGGAATACTAATCATGAGTTGTGTGGCAAGGGACAATGATTAATCATATAATAAATGGTTTATACTGTAGTAAATGTTAAAATTTATTTTAATGAGCAATTGCACATTTTTCTCGATTATTGTGATAACACAGTAAATTAGTAAACACAATGTTAAAATATAAACTTTTTCTCAAAAGTGAGAACAATTGTTTAGACCACTGTTTAAATGGTGTGAATGAAGCCTACCCTCTGATGAGAAATATCCACGAAAAACTCTACAGTAGCAAACATCGTTAAGCTTGTAGAAAAAGCAGTAAAATTATCCAACTGTAAGAGAGGGTAAAGACAGACAAAGTTTTATCTAACTGAAATAAAAACGGTGTTTGTGGTGAAGAATTATCAGCACTTGCCAAAGATTCTGCACATTTTCTTTCTACATTATTATTTTATATATATTTAAAACAAAAGGTTTTTAGGTTTTTATCTAGTTGTTACTTATATTTCATCAGCAAAATTTCAAGATGGTTTCAATAATAAAACCATTAAAAAGAAATGAAAAACGAAGTGTTCGTTTGCCTTATATTAAACATTGGCATGGCAGTTAGCAATATTTTTGTCTTGATTTTACGAAGAATATGTGCGGTGTATCTCTTTTATTTTGTGAATGAAACAAGTTAACAGTCGTGCTATCAATATTATAAAACAAACCGTATTTTCCTTATGTTGTAGATCTTTAAATTCTACATACAAGCAATTTCCACCAAAGACTCAACTACACAAATGAGAAGTCTTTCTGTTTTGACTGACTTGAGACTACAGTAAAAAAAAACATTTCTACAATTTTCATGTTATTTATGAGTCATCTCTGTTTTCTAACTGTTGCAAAACTGAAGATAATGTACATGCTAAATCTAGTCTAAATGCATGTACGATAATGTGATTGTATTTTTACTTGCTTCAAAACCGGAGTAAAGCTTTGCGAACCTTGATTTTTCTTTCTGTTTCTAATGTACATATACTGAATATATATATTTATCAGTCAGAGATGGGAACTATAGAGTATTCAATTATTATACCTTTTTCTCTCTTAACCAAAAGTGTTTAAACCAATTTCTAATTTTCTCATTATCTTTCCAGTGATGGTGTGACTGTAAATTTTCTATAGCGATTTCACATTGTTGTACATTTGTTGATTGTGCAAACTGTTTTAATCTGAAAGATGAAATATATTAGAGTATTGGAGTGTAAATGGCATGATACAAGTATGATATTTTCCTATTTCCAAACCATGATTTGTGTTTGCAAATAGTTGCTTTACTATTTCTCAAATCAAAAATTTAAAATGACTTTTACTATTGATAAAAAAAAACATCATTGTTGTACTGAATAGTCGTTGAGAGATCAACAGTTTATTGGTATACAGACCCCCGGAGAGGGTGAAAAACTGAAAGTACAAAATAACAATCATAAGCATACTATTAAGGCAACACTTATATAATAAATGTCAAATAGTAGTACATTCACAAAGAAAATGGTTATACAGTTCAATACAAGTAACTCTTGTACACTACACTTCGAAATACAACATAAATATATCAGAAAAAGATTGCACACACGTATCTAAATATGCAAGAAAATTGAAAGGTTGCATTTGTCATAGACTGTACTCTTCATACCACGCACGATATAAATTTTACACACGTTGAGACTGTGCGGGACTGTATTTCTAGAAAACTCGAGCGTGACCCTTGTCTACATCAATAAAACACAAAAATAAATCCCAACATGTGGGATTGACAAATAATGAATGGAATTTAAGGGGGAAATGCATACATAAAAAATACAAACAGTACTGTATATTCACAGCGGCAATATTTACTCATGTCGTGTGTAAATGAACACCAATAATCAAATATGAAGTTGCATAAAATGTAAAATTAAACAGTATGCACAACGATATAAAAAATGAGCACAAATATAAAAGGTTAACTTACTCTAGTGGTGGATAAAACTTCCAAGTAGGAAAACAACGTGTTTCAGTTTTGACAATAATCGAGGGATTGATGAGACTGGGGAATGAAATGATAAGAAAAGGACGACATGGTCAATTCGGCACTTAATCAAAACAGTACACTCCTCCTCTGATTTCTTTATGAAATCACTACATTTTCAAAATTAAAAGATAATGTCATATGACAAATTAACATGTGTTTCCCTAACAATGTTATACTAATTGTTCGTGTATTAAATGTGATTGAATAAAACACAATGTCACTATTATAGTCAGTCAGCTTCAAGGAGAGTAACCAATTCGGTAAGTTGTGCGCTTTCCGTCTTTGACGATGGCGACTTCAAGTTTTCCTCTGAGCTTCTTACAAATTATGCACTGGTTGATGATAGTTGAAATAGAACGTTTTGCACTAATAATCCAATAGACAGCTGAGCCAACTGGCTTTTTGATGTTATGCTTTTACCTTCTTGAAGCAACTTAATCTCGTCGGAAAAGGCATCCTGCTGAACTGAACGTAGTATTAAGTTTTCAGAGTCTCTTAGCAGATCGGGCGAAATAACTCCGTCTTGGTGCAGTTTCTTACGAATTACCGATTTTATAAAGGCAATGCTTCTAACGAGACGTGTCCATTGAGAAAACCTGTCGAATCTACTACATCCTAATGAAGTTTCATTGCATTCGATTTGGAGTTCTGTTTTCTTACAGCTAACTGATGGACGAATTTCTTTGTCATTTTCTGGATCTACTAGTAAGTGGTCGTGTTCATCCTGTTTGTTGTTAGTCAAGAGCATGTCGGGGCCCTTTATCCAAAGGCTCTCTGGAAGATCTATCGTGCTGATGGACCTAGTAGCCAAATCAGCCGGGTTTTCATTGGTAGACACATGAGACCACTGATTAGGTTGACATAAAGAACGAATTCGACTGACTCTGTTACCAACATATATGTAGAAGCGTCTTGTTTCGTTTGTCAGATATCCAAGTACTACACGACTGTCTGTATAATAATAAAAATCATCTGGGTTGATATCTAATTGATCTCGAATAATGTCGGAAAGCTCTGCTGCTAAGACTGAAGCACACAGTTCCAGACGGGGGATTGTGTGTCCGTGAGACGGGGCAACTGTGGCTTTCCCGAAAAGAAAGCTAATGTTAACAGTATTTGCACTATACAATTTAATATATGCAACAGCTGCGATTGCATCTTTAGAAGCGTCTGAGAATATGTGAACCTCCCGTTTAACACTATTGGCGAATGAAGGTCCATTGTACTTTCTAGATATACGCAAATTTTCAAGTTCGCTCAATGAATGTACCCACGATTCCCATTGCTGATTCAGTAATTCTGAAAGTGGATCATCCCAATCAATAGTAGATGAAGATGAGAGCATTTGACGCATGAGTAATTTGCCTCTAATGATAACTGGTGCAGCAAAGCCAATTGGGTCATACAGACTGTTGATTGTTGAAAGAACTCCGCGGCGTGTAAATGTCTTGATGTCGGAAGACACACTAAAGGTAAACTCGTCCAGTTCTGTGTCCCATGAGAGACCTAAGCTTCTCTGCATCGGGAGATCTGCCGATGCAAGGTCAAAGTCCTTGAGATTTTTGGCAAGGTCATCTGAATAAATGCTTCTAGCACTAACCTGCTGTTAGATGCAACTTTATGCAATCTAAGTCTACCGTTTTCGTATAAAGTTTTCTTAGTTCTTTGAACAAGATCAATAACTCCCTCTGGAGTTGCACAAGAGGTAAGTCCATCATCTACGTAAAAGTCGTTGCTAACAAAGTCTTTCACATCAAGTTCAGCGCGTTGGACAGTTCGTCTCAGACCATCCGTAGCCACTGCTGGGGACGGACTGTTTCCGAAGACGTGTACTAACATCTGATATTCTGTAAGTGTTTTTTCAGAATCGTTGTCCTTGTGCCACAGGACGCGCAAGAAACGTCTATGTTCATCTATGACTCTGAAGTTATGAAACATTTGTTCGATATCAACGGTAACGGCGTAAGCCTCTTTCCTAAAACGGAGTAATATTCCAAGAAGGCTGTTATAAATGTCTGGACCTTTCAACAAGACGTCGTTCAAAGATAGTCCATGATGTTTTGCAGAAGAGTCAAAAACTACTCTTACACTCTCTGGTTTCCTCGGATGATACACTGCGAACATAGGCAAGTACCAGCACTCAGTACCTGGCGATAGTTTGGGTGCTATCTGGGCATGTTCTCGATCAAACAGTTTCTGCATAAAATCTAACACTTGTGTGCGCTTTACGGAGTTGCAACGTAAATTCATATCAAACGATTTAGCTCTACGCTCTGCAATTTGTTTGTTGTTTTCTAAAGAAGGTTTGTTGGGTTTAAAAGGTAGTGGAGCGATCCAGTGTCCATCATCTTGTTTGAAGAATCCCGATGACATTATATTCAAAAAGGTTTGATCCTCTATTGACACACCTTCCTTTTCGTCTAGTTTAGTCTTGTCGAAGATTGGGTCTAATTTAACTGACATCTCGCTATCACACGGAGACAATAGAAGTAGGTCGTCCGTTGCCTAAGATTACAGTTTTGTTAACATTAACTACTTTTTGTCCATGAAATCTACCAAGACATACATTGCCTACAATAACCCATCCTAAAGGTCAACGCTGTGCATACGGTACTTCGTCAGCTCCTACACGGTGTTCAATAACATGGTGTGCTCTAATAAGGTCACGGCCTATTAACATCTGTATTTCAGACTGGTTGTCAATGTCAGGAATACAACTTGCTATGTCCATCATGTGCGGAGAACTTGAAGTTACAACAGATGAGGGTATTTCCTCTCGATTGTTTGGAAAGTCATTACATTCGATTATTTCAGGTACGTTAAGACAGAATGATCCATCAAGCGACGCTAATACGTATCCGGAAGCTCTTCGTCCACTAGTAACGAACCTTCCTGCACAAGAAGCAAGTACATATTCGGTTTCAGTGTCGTTTTCTCGGAAGATGTTGAAGAAATCTGACGTTGCTAAAGTCCTGTTACTTTGGTCATCGATCACACAGTAAACAGTTTTGAAATGATCTGGTCTATCAGAGTGATATACTTTGGCGAGTACTATCTTAGCACATGATTTACTGGTATTGTGTATCGAGTCACATATTTTGGTGCATTTGCTGCTAATCTGTTCCTTAGAATTCTCCTCCTCGTGCTTTTTCTGGGGTTCGACTGTAATATCTACATGTAAGGCTGACGGATGGTCACGAGAACCACACACACTGCATTTGACATCCTCTTTACATTTGTCACGGAAATGTCTCTTAGGTCCGCAACACTTGAAACACAAACCTTTCTGCTTAATTAAATCAAGTCTCTCTGATAATAGTTTAGCACGGAAACCACGGCACGTGTTAAGTGTATGATTAGTTCCATGGAGGGGACACAAGTCCTCATTTTGCTTCTGAATAGGTGGTCTATTAACACTGTGTCCAATGTCGGTTTTAATGCTTGAAACTTGCGCAGGACTTCGAAAACGATTTTGTACTCTCGTATGTCTAGATGTGGTCGGTTTGGTGTCTTGATTGTCATATAAAAATCCAGGGTCATTACGCACTTTAGCAATGTTTTGCAAGAATGGCACAAAGAAGGAGAATGGCGGATATGCTCCATGGTTTTTTGACTTATAACCATTGGCAGTAGTAGTCCATTTTTCTTGAATACTGTAAGGTAATCTGGTTACAAAACGATTCACACCTAGAGACGAATCAAAGTAAGCGAATGTGGTGGCAAACTTTTCATCTTTGCGAATAGACTCGATCTCAGCAGCTAAGTCCGCTAACTCGTAGATTTCCTTTCGGTTATTGTTTGAAAGTTTCGGGAAGTTAACTTTACGTGAGTGAAGTGACGACTCTATCATCTCTGGACTACCGAATCTAGCATCTAAGCGTTCCCATATAAGCCGCACTGCAGTAGCCGGATTATTGGCATTAGCACATCTAATGTTCTGAGCATGCTGTTTTGAGCTTGGTCCCAAAAACTTTATTAGAAGGTCCAACTGTTCCAAAGGATTTGTATCTAACTCGGTCATTATGTGTTGAAAACTAATTTTCCAAGATGAGTAATGTGAAGGTTGGTCATCAAATGATATGAGCCTAGATGTAATCAAGTCTTTCTTCACCATAAACTTGGCCAATTCTTGTGCTTCGTTTCTCTGGGTCGGAACAAAAGGTCATGCTGTTGGATTCAATGGTCCAAAAGAATGAACAAGAATGTTAACACTGTTTGCTTGAAAGTCATTTTCGGTCAAATGAGAAGCATGCTGTGAGCGCTGTTGCTCCACAAATTCTGCTGTACGTCGTTCTGTAATGTTATGTGTATCTGGTACTTTAGAACTACGGTACTTTCTTTCAGATATCCTGTCTACATCGGCATACTGAACTACCGGATTAGCAATTATTGGTGGTTCATAACTTTCACCATAGTCATTAGGATCATAATTCAAAGCCTTCTTAACGGCTTGCAATCCCGACTCAGCTTCGTCGACTTCTCGCTTCATAGAGAGGACGTTTCTCTCTGCTTTGAGTGTAGCTTCACGGTGCAACAGTTCTGCCTCCTCTTTGGCATATTTAAGTCGTGTCTTTGCGGTTTCCAGTTTCACAGTTTGTTTAAGAATCTCTGATTGAGCACTTAGTGACGAGTTTCTTGTTGACCCAGTATGACGGGAACTATGATGGGAGCTACGACTTTTAAGAGTTCGTTCACTATCTTGTTTGGATCTACTAGGTAGCAATTCACTAAGATGTTGTTTGACGACGGATATTTTGGCCTTTAACGCATAGAATGACACTTTAAATGATGCATGCTCGATTTCACTTTCTTTTGTCCTATATGATTTTAAGAAATCAAAATATGTGTTACCTTCTTTTTCAAACTTTTCTGATAGTTTTGAAATTTCATCTCTGTACGTCGACGCTGTGGAGAGGTCCACCACTGGATTATCTTCTACGTCTAGTATAATAGCGTCGATATCTCTCTTAATAGTTCTAATAATGTATTGATGTCTTTCATTAGACTGTTGGAAAAGGTGATCTCCATCAGATGTAAGTGTTCTAGAAGTTCTTAACTCTCTTTCAGAAACGGATTCTGACTGTGACATGTTGAATCTATCTTGGGTTTATCTCTATAATGTAGATTTTTCACTGTACTGATAAGTCGTTGAGAGATCAACAGTTTATTGGTATACAGACCCCCGGAGAGGGTGAAAAACTGAAAGTACAAAATAACAATCATAAGCATACTATTAAGGCAACACTTATATAATAAATGTCAAATAGTAGTACATTCACAAAGAAAATGGTTATACAGTTCAATACAAGTAACTCTTGTACACTACACTTCGAAATACAACATAAATATATCAGAAAAAGATTGCACACACGTATCTAAATATGCAAGAAAATTGAAAGGTTGCATTTGTCATTGACTGTACTCTTCATACCACGCACGATATAAATTTTACACACGTTGAGACTGTGCGGGACTGTATTTCTAGAAAACTCGAGCGTGACCCTTGTCTACATCAATAAAACACAAAAATAAATCCTAACATGTGGGATTGACAAATAATGAATGGAATTTAAGGGGGAAATGCATACATAAAAAATACAAACAGTACTGTATATTCACAGCGGCAATATTTACTCATGTCGTTTGTAAATGAACACCAATAATCAAAATGAAGTTGCATAAAATGTATAATTAAACAATATGCACAACGATATAAAAAATGAGCACAAATATAAAAGGTTAACTTACTCTAGTGGTTGATAAAACTTCCAAGTAGAAAAACAACGTGTTTCAGTTTTGACAATAATCGAGGGATTGATGAGACTGGGGAATGAAATGATAAGAAAGGGACGACATGGTCAATTCGGCACTTAATCAAAACAGTACAATTGTTATAAATGATGACTGTAAATCACACGATAATAATACTGTTGTGCAAGTCTGTGAATTGTATGACTTACATAACTTACAGGTTTAACATGTCATCTTGGTGCGATCCAACTCCATGTCTATTTTTTCTCGTCCACCGTATCCAGGCTTGTTCCCTGTGGAATGAGCACAGGTAAACTGAACATCCTAAAAAACAAATATTTTTTTTTAGATTTTACCTTTTGGTTTTCACCTTCAAATCCTGTACAGACTAGTTCGAGAAAGAAATCTGGTTTTATCAAGAAAATGTCGGTGAACATAATTTTAAAATTTTTATCAAACAGTTGCTTCTGTATGGATGACTCGTGTCCTTAGACAACATTTAAAGGGAAAAAAATGATCTTACCAGCATCTTGAGAGACATTGGTTTCCGAGTACCACTAGCATATCAAAACTGAGATTGTGAGTTCGAATCCTGCTAATCTTAATTGACTACAATTGTTAATTGTTTTCCATCATGTGATAGTATTGGTGCGATTTACTTTTCTTATTTTTTTTTTCAAAAGGATGATTGGGAATTTAATTTAAGAAATTCTCAAGTGGAAACTATCCTTCGGACATATCTTCTTCCACTCTTCAACAATAAATTAATTTTCTGGATCATCCTTTGAGTACCTACAAATCATCAGAGAAACCAAGCGTATGGATTTGTTTATATCTTTTAAAAAAACTTTCAACTGCTATTTTTCTATGGAGCAAATTATAATTTCAACATTTAAAACCTCCCAACATATTTATATTTTTATGAAGATGTTACAGTTAATACTTCGCATGTATACATAACCTTTAATTTTTATACGCCCGCTTACGGGACGTATAATGGTATACCGTTGTCCGTCTGTCCGTCCGTCTGTCGTCAACATGTCGGACAATAACTCAAAAACGCTTGAACCAATTCGCACGAAACTGGTGAATTGTTGATATCTATTGACGTGAGCTCCCTTTCGTTTTTTATAAATTTTAGATTTAAGTTTCCGAGTTTTGGGGTTTTATTTATGAAAAAAGGGGGATTTTCCAGTTTTCGGACAATAACTCAAGAACACTTTCAACAATTTGCACTAAACTTTGGTGAATTGTTTATATCTATTGACATGAGTTCCCTTTCGATTTTTATAAATTTTAGAATTTACTTTTCCGAGTTATGGGATTTTATTTTTGAAAAAGGGGGGATTTTCCAGTTTTCGGACATAATTTTGAAATTTTTATCAAATTGTTGCTTCTGTATGGCTGACTCGTGTCCTTGGACAACATTTAAAGGAAACAAAAATGATCTTACCAGCATCTTGAGAGACATTGGTTTCCGAGTACCACTAGCATATCAAAACCGAGATTGTGAGTTCGAATCCTGCTAATCTTAATTGACTATAATTCTCAGTTTTCTTCCCGAAGGTCTGTGGTTCTCTCAGGGCACTCCGGCTTCCTACATCATTAAAAAATAGGCAGCCATGAAATAGGACAACCCTGTTTAAGTGACGTCAAGCATCTATCAATCTTAAAGAAATATTTAGAGATAAGACTTGGTTTTTTACTATTTGAATTGTTTTGCACTTGTCATAGTTTATAGCCTTGTTTTTGTGTGTTGTAAAACTTTCGGCAATAACACATTAAAGTAATAAGCAAGCAAATTGTTTTGTTGATCTTAAACGACTTAAATAACAACAATTTTCTATCGTGTGTATAAATAATAACGTTTTTCAGGTCATAGCTTCAAGTAGACATACAATTGCATTTATTTCATGGTTGTCATAAAAAATGTTGGTCTTCAATTTACGTTCCAATCTTTAATTAACACCAAGGCTCCCCTTTTGCAGATTGGCTTTCTGAAGCGGAAATAAATGACGCGACACGTGAATGACCCTCGTTGGTTTGGACACAAAAGAGTGGTAAGCTATCAATAGAATTTGTGTATGTTGCATTCATGAAAGCTATATCATTTCCATAAAGATTCATCAATCTCTTCTTCCAGCTTGTATGGTGTACAAATAAGAATTCAGTACTGTTGTCATTTTCTTGCTGACATCTAGAAAAAATTAATAAAATCATAGTCTCTGAAGAATCAGTTTCATTCCGCTATTTTCACAAGAGTTATGGGACTTTGACCTTATGTTATAGTACTTGTTTCAATGTCACTTTGTGAACCTAACTCCTCCAAGATCCTTTTTGTATGCCATCAGATGTTGTTAACATGGCATTCTGTAATTTTTAGTTAACCATTGGTTTTGGAAGTTCTGGGACTTTAGGACTTTTTTTTATGAATTAGGACAATAACACCCTGTAAATACAACTCCTCGTTCAGCATATAACAAATACTTATTATACTTGATTTAAGTAGCTGTCTGCCTAAGAATCATGCAAAATAAAAGAATAGTGGCAGACCCATTATCACATATTTTACTGAAAAGGGCTGTGATATCAAGAAAAAGATGTAATAATATCATTAAACTTAATAATTCCTACTGATATGGATCGACTTTGTTTTTATTAGATCGTTCAGTACATGGATTTTGAAGAATTGTACTGTTGTTTCCTTTATAAATTATGCATTTTGAGATTGAAATAAAATCTGTTATCGGTTACATTCATTAGAAATCTTTAAAAAATCTGAAAGATAATTGTTTTACAATCCAATTTTGAAAAGAAAATGATTTGGAAATAAATAAATTAATTTGCTAGAATTTAAAGAAATTTGTATAGTAAACGGTGTATTGGTAGCATCAAATTATCTCCCCTTTCGTGGCTCTCCAGTGTAGAAATACAATTGCCCTACTGTTGTATACAAACAATATGGCTAAGGAAGTAGACATCTCAGAGCAGACTACACATTTATGCAGCCTTTCTCACTTTTCTAAGCCCCCCAAGGGTGACTGGGGAATAGAAGTATGGTCACCATTGGTCTTCCTCCGACCGGCAGTAAAACCCTTGCTAAAGTGGGGCGTCCGTTTTGGCTGTGCGGGATGTAAAAATTTGCAGCCACGTCCGGTCAGAATGGGGACGTTAAATCCGATGCCTCGTGTAAAGAGAGAGCTACGCTCTTTGCACGTTAAGAACCCTTGCAACAACTCTTTGAGGGGTTCGTAGGTGACCTGTTGCAAGGCTAAATTTCTGGCCCTATCCAATATACCCTCATTTCCCGTGGCAGTCTAAATTTCTCCGACCTTAATCCCGGACGCCCCTATTGCAGAACCTACCTATTGTATTTATTGTTAATTTGTTCTCGTCCTGAATATGCATGAAATATTTGCCACTGGACGTTAAGCAACCAACAATCAATCAATCAACTTCAGACAATCCTTCAAAATTAGTTTATTTAAAAAAATGTAAGAAATCAGTATCAAATCACTTACGTTCATTAAACATTTCATACGATGAGAACATTTTGACAGAAGGTCTTCTTATATGTTTACGTGTTGGTATATTTCGTTTAATGCCACATTTCACTGTTTTCCCTTATCATCGGTCATCTTTGGGGTTGATCTGGAAGAGGAAAACATCATGTGTGTTTCTTGGCCATACTGGAGAGAGTAAAGGGGATAGACCGATATAATACAGGACCAGCTACGCTCTGATTTCCCAGAGAGGAACATTCTTGCCAATAGGATCAGGTAGGTTATTTCAGAGTTTTAGGAATAATTATATTGTCATAAATGGTTGTATCTTTTTTGTCATTGATGTCCAATTAAGGGAGTTACCATTTGATTTTTAGGGGGGGGGGGGGGGGGGGGGGGTAGGATCAAATTAAAAATAAGCAGGACAGGAGTTTTGAGTAAAAAAAGCAGATGAACAACTGGGTCACAAAAACCAGGATAAAAATATTACACTTGGAGAAAATAATGAAAATTCCTGCTAAAAAAATCATTTTGCAAGCAAATTTTATTGACAGTGTATCCCAAGATCTTATAATTTTCACAATTATGTTCTGATTGTTGGATATTCAATTGCCATATTCAAAGTTAATGGAAGAAAAGATATAAAACAATATAGAAACCATACATAGTACTTTGTGCATTTACATGTACACTCATAACATTTACATTCATGTACATGTAATAAATACCTGTTAAAAATTGTCCTACTGGTTACTTGCTTACTTGTTGGTATAGTCAGGATCTATGAATAGGTATCTTACTCAAAATGATTAGATCTAGCTACAATGTTCATGAGGTTATATCTTATCTAGTTTGATCTTTTAAAAAAAACTATGCTGAATGTCATGAATGTTATTAGCTTTTTAGCATGTTTAGTATACATATACATTTAAATAAGAAGATGTGGAATGATTGCCAATGAGCAAATGATGAGACAACTCTCCATAAAAAAAATTCTTTAATGTATGCAAGTATAGGTTATTAACTTATATGGCATTCAACAAAGAGTATTTGCTTACTCCACATAGCAAGATTTGTGTAAAATAATCCAAACAAAACAAAAAAACATGCTGATTTTGTCATTCTGTAGCGCACATATTTGCATGTCTAAAATCAGGACCCTGTAATTCAGATGCAGTCTTTGGTTGCTGTTAGTCATGTTTGATTTTCATTTATTAATGGCCATTCATTAAGTTGTCTCTTTTTCCTAAAGTTTCTTACTCATTATGATTAAAAAGGTTGGACAAACTATTCATTGATATGCTTGTGGATGTTTCATATATTCCTAAAAGTTAAGGATTCAATTGAAAATAATTGTGTTATGTTTTTATTTATATTGTTTCATTTTATTTCAGCTATCTGTAAAGTCTGCAAAACAAAAACATTTAACATCCTAGAATCATTTCCTAATATGGTAAGTATAAACTTACTTCAAGTTATTTTTTATCACATGTCACTCAACTATATACAAAATAACATGTATGATTAAAGGCTTCCTTTAAAATAAATGTAATACAGGATAGTTTTTACATTATTTGTATACAGTCAAACAGTGTCTCCTGTCTCTTTACTAACTTATGGAATGTGGATACTTGTGACCTAGGAGGAACATGAAAAATTAGTCAATATTTATAATATAATTATGCATTAAGCACATGTTCAGCATACAAATCCAAACCTGACAGAGAAATTGATTGATTGATTGTTGGTTGCTTAACGTCCAGTGGCAAATATTTCATGCATATTCAGGACGAGAACAGATTAACAATAAATACAATAGGTAGGTTCAGTAATAGGGGTGTCTGGGATTAAGGCCGGAAAAATTTAGACTGCCACAGGAAATGAGGGTATATCGGATAGGGACAGAAATTTAGCCTTGCAACAGGTCACCTACGGACCCCTCAAAGAGTTGTTGCAAGGGTTCTTAACGTGCAAAGAGCGTGGCACTCTCTTTACACGAGACATCGGATTTAACGTCCCCATTCTGACCGGACATGCCTGCAAATTTGTACATCCCGCACAGCCAAACGGACGCCCCACTTTAGCGAGGGTTTTACCGCCGGTCGGAGGAAGACCAATAGTGACCATATTTCTATTCCCCAGTCACCCTTGGGGGTCCTGACAGAGAAATGTTTCATGCTACAAGTATTTCCTCAATTGATAATTTAGAACTATCTATTTTTTGTTGTTGTAATATAGGTTTTTTTCAATTGTTAGATATGCATAATGATAATTCTTACTTGTTTTATATAAACACAAACAGATGTGGTATAATTGTCAATGAGACAACTCTCCATACAAGACCTAAATTAGTAAATATAAGCAATTATAGGTTACAGTACAGCCTTCAATGTGGAGCCTTGATTCACACCACAGGTATATTTTTAAAAGTAAATACACTACTAGTATGTTATTTATCATTTTTATAAATGACTTTGAGTACAACATGTATATTTATCTGTATTTTAGATGGACATTATTCCTGGTGATGAGGATTCAGGAGAAATAAAAATAAATGATCAGGTATGGATATTTTATTTAGTATATAAATAAGTATTTCTATTGCAATTATTGTGTATCAATGATTTTGATTGGATGACAGGTAAACTCAATTTGCGACAGTAAAACTACCGATGGACGTCCGCAAAGTTTCAAATACAATACAGTTATCTCTTAAATGTGGTATGGGTGCCAATAAGACACGGCTCCATCCAAGACATAATGTAGTTAAAGAAAGTAGAAGATTCACTATTCAATAAAATAGCATTTATAAAAGCATAACCTTTCTAAGTAAACAACAATATTTTAACATGATCTATGCAAAAGAAATTGACCACCAAGACAGCACATTTTTTGGAGATGTATAGACACACTGAAATACAAAATAGACAACTGAATACTGGTTTGAACCAATTTTCACTGGAAACTCAATCATCTACTTATTGAAAAACATACCCCCTAATTATATATTGAGAGGTAAAAATCCCATTTTGCTGGTCAAGCAATCACTTTTAAAACTACTGTATAGACTAAACTAAACTTTAGTTACAATTTTAGGATACATATATATTTTATTCATTTATCTTTTAGATGGACATTTATCCTTGTGACATAGATTCTGATGGCCGTTATTTAGAGCATAAGGTATGGATTTCTGTGTGATTTTTTTGCCATATATTTGTAATGTGCCAATAGTATTATTGATGAATTAACAGAAAAACCTCTTAAAAAATATCATAATCACTTCCATTCAATTATAAATAAAATGTGTTTTGATTGCCATTGAGACAGCTCTCAAGCTCAGACATAAGTTAAGATTACTACACAGTCAACAACATGGAACAAAAGCACACACCCCATAGCAAGCGTTCAAAGATCTTCACAGGATGACTGTCTTCATTCAGTTAAGAGATTTACATAGTTTTTTACATACAGAATTCATATCATTTATGATTTAAATTTGAAAAATGGGTATAAACATGGTTTTTATTTAGGATGTACTGGATGAAAAAAATACACAAATGTATCTGCAAAAAGGTAAATAAGATGATGAAATGGTGATCCAATTCATATTATCTTTTCTATTCTTCATCTCATTATTTCTGTTTTAAATTACTCTGAATTTTACTGTTCAAACTTTGTTTTTTTTTATTAGTTTTCAGTAGTTGAACAGAACCAGCCAACTAATAAGTACATGCAGTCAGAATATATGACAGCTAAGGAAGAAAATGACATGGTATGAACATTAACTTATATATGTATATAAGAAAAAATTAACTGCTTTTTCAAAATAGATCAACTATCAAAGTTCAATGTCATAGAATTTAACTACCGGTAATGTTGTTTTTATAATACCACTTCATTAATTTATACTGGTTAAGAGCAATTCTCTGTAATCACCAAAATATTTCGGCACGCACTAAAAAATATTTGTTTTAAACTTTATTAGTTCAATAGAACCACATGAGCTTAACAAAAAATATTATTACACTTAGCCCCATATGTTTACCGTTTCCTTGGTAACAGGACTTAAAGTGACAAGAAAGAAGGAAAATGTAGTGTTTACAAATTATGATCAATTATGTCTAATAAAAAGAAAATAATATAGATATTAAGACATTTAAAACTTTTTTCAGTTAAAAAAAAACAAATAAAAATTGTGTTCAACAGTAAACTTTCTTAAAAAAAAATCTATATAGCTAAAATAGGGTAAAAAGTGCAATAAAAGGGGGGTTTAAGAGCCTATTTTGATCAGGTGTTGTAAAAAAATGCAGCCATTTCTTATATTGTTGATTATATGAATAGAGAGAATGGATTAAGGTTATACAAGAAAAGAAAAAAAATCAGTGGGCAAACTTGACTGTGTTGAAATTAATTGACCCTGAAAAGTTGAGTTGTCCTGTATTTACCTAATCACATTACCTCCCTTTACGGAGTTCTCTTGTAGAGAAACAAATTAAAAACAGGAGGGAAAATGTAAACAAATGCAGACAACAATGTTATTTTGCGAATTTCTTCATGTTTTATATTCAAGCATAATGGGAAATGGATAAATTTTTCACAGTGATGTTAGCCTACACTTATATATATGGTGAAGTTGGTGTGATTTGCTCATATTTTGAAAATATTGTCAGAACAATGGAACTGTGTCTGTACTAAGACAGTGTATTTTATACTAGTTTATTTTGCTTACCGTAACTAACTTTTTTAATGTATTTATTTATATAATCTTCGAATAATTGTTATAAAATGTGTAGCATAAAAGATTTCGTAGGCAATTGTGACAACTGCAGTGACGACAGGTATTTTTGAAAGTGCTTCCATTGGAAAAAAAGACATGTATATACATTTTTGTCAGAAATTTCTTTACTTAAATCTGACATTACATTGTACGTCACAACTGAGGATCTGTGATATTCATAGAAATATTATCATCATAACAACTACATTTTTTGTAACAAGAGATATAGAAGGAAAAATTGTGGTGTGCCTTCAGTAAATGTCATTTTGAAATATCATAATACTACAAAAGCAGTGGATCGACATGTTACACCTGAGATGTTTCAAAGAATTGTTACAAAGACAGGCATTTTCATTCCTATTGGAACATGTAAGTAGATACTATTTACCTAATACCATTTTTCTTTAAAAGAGATACAGTGATAAACCTCTTATAAAAAAGAAATCAAATGCAGCTGTCAGGTACCCCCGCCCCCCCCCCCCCCCCCCCCACCCCCCAAAAAAAAAACCAAAAAAAAACCAAAAAAACCTTAGGGTTAATATTATCTACCATTTGGCTATGAACCTTTAACTTATTGTTTTTAGCATGTGACAGCCATATGAACTTCTTTAATACCCCTTTTTTAAACTATAAAACATAAAATTAAAATATTATGTGAAGTTCTTTGAATCTTGTTTTTGAGAGACAAAAATTATAACATGAATGCTGTTTCACGTTTCCTTTCCTTTACCAGATTTGTAAGGTTTTCTACATGATAATCACATCATTTCATACCGGTCCTTATGAAATAAAAAATGTTGCAGCAACAAATGCGCGCTGCAATGTTGCGGCTGCTGATCAGGTTGCCAGAAAATTGACGCCGGATAAGTGCCGCTAGCATCATTCTGGCTACATTGCAGCGCTATTTCCTTTCATGACAAAAAGCGCCACAATGTTGCCATAAAGCACACATATAATTTTCTCATTCTTAATCTACTAAAATGATGCCAGAATATATAGAGCCAGAACATTGATAATGTCATTGATGATGTCACCAGTGTTTGAGCTTTTTACTGTGGTCATGGTGGTGTGTTACTGTAGAAGTGGACCATATGTTGCTTGAGCTTATGATTTTAGTGAAGAATTGGGTGTTCTGTTATTGTGAAGACTTGTATGTAAACTTAGATTAACATGATTAATTAAATGCATTATATAAAAGTTCAATCTCTCATTTAATTAAATCAAGGAAATTGTCTTCTTCCTGATAGACCTGGAGAGCATTTTCAAAAAATCCTAATTATCAGGGCCAAACTATCATCTAATGGGGCGAATTGGTACCTTCTGAAACATAAGTCATGGTTTCTCTTCCCTTTCTCAACTTAACCCTCGCTAAAATTTTACAGAGCATGCTGAAAGAAGTTTGGTCAATTATGTCTTTGTAACCCTCTTAAGACGGCTTGAAAGTGCTATTTGTTTGGAAAAAAAACACAACACCTTTGACTGAAGTGAAGGGGCTCCTGTTGGGATCATGGAAGTTATGTTGGTGTTATTGAAGGTATAGATGTTGCATGTTGACAGTTCATGAGTTACACATTTTAACTTTCCTTTTCCTCAATGTGGGAAAATTAAGTACATTCCATATAGGAATAACTTCTGAGGACAGAACTTTACTTTCTTTAAAAGAAAATGTATAATAATAACTCTGAACACACAAAAAAATCATAACGTTAGATAAAGGAGTTAAAACTTTTTCTCGGGTATACTTAGCACTAAACTTGCCTGGTCAGACGTTACTTTACCTTTTTAGTCAATAATCAAAAGAAGCCAGAATTTAAAGGCATTAGTGGCGCAATAGTGCCAGAAAACTAATTTGCATACAAAATAAAAAACAATATTTGCATTGAAGCCACAATATGTTGCGGCAACGAAGCCACAGCATTTTCTGGCACCAGAGCCAGAAAACTGATTTGCATATGAAATACGCTAATGCTGCATCATTGCCACAACATGTTGGTGCAATGAAGCCGCAACATAGCCCTAATGTTGTCACAACTACATGTATGTGCCAGAAGGCTTATATTCCGATAAGGGCGCGGACAGCCTTCTTTTATTCATGTTTACTTGTGATACATGTATGTTTTAAAATTCATGTTTTTATGTACATACATGTACATGTATATGACCCAACAAAAAAGTATGTGGGTTTACTGTACACCTACCTACCCTAATTTCAGTATATGACCCAACAAAAAAGTATGTGGGTTTACTGTACCCCTACTTACCCTAATTTTTGTCCCCTACCCTAAAGTTTTTTTGACTATTTTTGATTAAGTACTGTTAAAGTCACAATGTTGCTCCCATAGACTCGATGTAAAAAAAAAAAAATCCCTACCTACCTACCCTTTTTTTTTCAGCAAGTGACAGTAAACACACATATTTTTTTGTTTGGCCTAAATAGTTTTGATAGTGATACACAGAATGAGATCAATTGTGTATCTATTTTCTTTTATATTACAGCAATTTGTAGACTGTGTAGAGAAAAACTATTTGGAAATAACAGTATTGAGCATGTTGAGGAGGTATGTCTTTTCATATACATGTATAAATATGATTCCCTGTACACATGTATTTTCAATAGTCAATAGTGAGTTTATTGTTATGGGATCCATATTGTAACTACATGTCAAACTGCATATGTACTCAGTTTTATTATGACAAGAATAAGAAGATCTTTCAATTCAGAAATAACATTAAACTTTAAAGTTCCAATTTGGTCTTCATATTCACTAAGCTTTTGCACATTTTATTTGGTAAACTAGTTTCATCATTAAGCATTAGTAAAAAATCTATTAGAATAAAAACTAAGGTTTTAATTGATCTAATTTACATGTACACTTAGGGCCAATAGGGGTTAAACTATGCATTCATGCATGCATAATTGAGGGTAAATTAAGGGTAAATTTCTAAATCATTTGTGTATAAAATATACCTCAACTGAACCCTAACCCATTCATATATTACTAAATCCTCTAAGATAGGTTGGTTTTTGCTTCAATATTATCATGTGTATTCCAGAATTCATTATTGTTCCAATTTCAATTAGTACCTTGTTTATAATATTCTTAAAAAGTTTTTCTTTTCTTTTAATTTTAATTTAGGAGAACACTATTGAGACAAATACAAAGAACAAGATTGCAAAAGCTGAAATACTACCACCTTAAAGAAAGAGGGTAGGTATAACTGTATATAAAATAGTATCATTGCATACACTTTATAAGATGTCTCATAAACTTGACTTTATAAGATATCTTGTAAAAGTATTTAAGATATCTTGTATAATATCAGATTATTACATGGCATTTTTTATATCGCATGTATTATCAGCCCTAGGTTTAATATCAGCCCAAGAGCCGCATGGCTTGAGGGCTGATATTGGCCAAGGGCTGATAATACATGTGATATGAAAAATGACATGCTATGATCTTTTTATCATATGCTTCAACAATGGAGAAAAATAACAGATTAATATATTGATCTTTTTACGTGGTTCTTAAATAGCAGTTCAAAGAGTGAAATATTATAAGTTACATAGTGTGCTAGTGACCTAATACGGTATATATGGGGTCAGTAAATTCCATATGGGGTGAGAGCAAAGCTCGAATCCCCATATGGAATTTACTGACCCCATATATACCGTATTACGTCACTAGCACACTATGTAATGAATTTATCTTACCGACTATCTTAACGTGTGAAATTTAGACTAGTGACCTATCAAAATGAGCACGGAAGTCTTCAATACTTTTAGCATTAAGAAACTTCTCTCATTTATCCTACAAAAACAGCTGCCAACAATAACAACTTGTTAGGTTTAAATGTGTTTTATGAATTCATTTCAATCTTAATCATCAATTTCTTCGTCTGTTGAAATCTTTAAGATGTTTTCTCAATACCGTTTTGTTTTTATAAAGAGACGCAACACCACTACTAACCTTGTATGAAATAAGCCCCGCCTCCTTTCTAACCTGATATGGAATATAATGGGGACGTAACTCCACTACTACCCATGTATGAAAAGAGCCCCGCCTGCCTTCTAACCTTATATGGAATATAAAGGGACGTAACTCCACTACTAACTGTGTATGAAATATGTCCCGCCTCCCTACTAACCTAATATGAAATATACACAGTCTCCACACAGACGCTTTAAACCAATCATATTCCTAGAAATGTATAGGAGGTAAGATAATCAAGGATGTCAGACCCCAAATGTTGTACAATCGATATGAAATCTTTCTATCATATGCCTCAACAATGAAGGAAAAAAACCAGTATGGTATATTTTAATACGGACAATAAAAAAATAATTCAACAATATACATAATAAACACTTTGGAAAAGTCAACATTTTTAAAGTAACTTTCTTAATTAAGTTAAAAATGCATTTATTTTATCATTTGTTTATTGTTTGTTTTTTTCCATTTTACACAATATACTTTCCAGTATCCAAATAATTGTTTTGTACCCTACTTTGTAATGTTTTTCACTGAAAACGTACCATTGAGGTGTATTTTCCAGAATTTGCCGAGTATTACCGGAATGCCATGCGATAGTGTTACGGAAAGGCATGTGATAAAAGTCGAAGCATGTGATAAACTTTTCATATCAGACCAAAAGCACCAATTCGAAAAAATATGGAATATACGTAAATGTAATGCTTTTATCATATGGTAAAAATCATATGTTATTTAGTCTAAGTATATGATAATATATTTTATATCTTTCATGAGATATCTTATAAAGAAGTTTATAAAGATATCCCATAAACTTTAGAAGATATAAGATTTTCAAGATATCCAATTAGGAGCTAACTGTATTGAAATGGCAGATTTAGAGCCATCAATCATGGATTTGATGGTCGCAAATTGAGTTTACTAGCGACACGTTAGCGGAGCCAGTAAACGGATATTTGCAACCATCAAATCATAGATTGATGGCTCCAAATCTTCAGATTGATATATACCCTGAAAATTACGACTTTATCCAATGAAATTTGACGTACGTATGTTACAACGAATGTTGCATTAGAATGAATGTTATAGGACATCTGATTTAATTTATTAGATATCTTATAAAACAATTTTATAAGATCTCTTATTGTCCCCCACCGGAGGGGACATAGAAATACTGGTGTCCGTGCGTCCGTCCGTCCAAAATCAGTTTCTGGACCGTAACTTTTGAACACCTTCATATAATTTTTTCAGACATAGGAGCCCTATAGTAATCAGCTTTCCGTCTGTCCGTCACAAACAGTTTTCACAAAATAAATCAAAAAGGCTATCACAAATCAAATTGAAAGTTTGATGGCTACCTATCAAAAAGCAGGGATATCACTAGTGAGCAATGACTCACAGCACATCTTGTTTTATATTGTGTCTATCAGAATTCATTTAGTATCCAATCTTTTGTAGGCACTTGATATAGTACCAGGGAAGCGTTACAGGGTGAAGGTTGTTGACACAATCCTTGATTTAGATGTAACCAAGAATAAAGAAACAATAACCAGTATTACAAGTTTTTACAACTTTAGATTTGAGAGCAGTCATTTGAGGATGTGGCAGACATACAATATTGATGAAGGTATTACTTTTATATTCAACATAAAGAAAAAAACAGATTACAAATAACATATAGTTTTAAACATAACACAACCCTTGAAAATACAGGGTCTGGCTTGTACACAGGTGGGTAAAAGAAGTCTATAAGTACTCAACCCTCCTCCGTAATTTTATAATTATTTCATTTACTAACTGTCATGTACAAAACTTAAGCACACTTGTAAGACAATGATCATTATCATATTTGTCACAACAACCGAGAAAAACCAACACAAAACTCAATAAACATTGTTATGCATCATTTAAATTCCCTGCTTGTGGGTTACAGGATTATGGGTATCGACAGAATCTTATTATAGATAATCAGGCTGTCCATTGTTGAAAGAGAAATTCATACATGTTGTATCGTTGTCCTTTTTAGGTCACCTGGCCCATTTTGAGTCCGTCTGGCATAAACTTTTTCAAAAATCTTCTGATACAACTGGGCCAATTGGAACTGAACTTGGTTAATGTAGTAAATTTGAATTTTTCTATTTTTTTGGGAAACAATTTTTATTTTATTTATCCTCTTTTTAGGAACAGACATTCATTTGTTCTATGGATGGCTGCATTCAAGAGTTCAAGAACCAGATTAGTCTTGATCAACACCTCCTTCAAGGCAGCTGTGAATATAAGCTAGAGAAAGGCCCATTAAAAGATCAGGCAAAAGTTCTATATGCCCAAAAGCTGTCAAATAGTGTACATCATTGTCCTGATATGCAAGCAGTCTTACTAGAAAATGCATGTACTACAGACTTGAGTGCCAAAGAAATGTGATGGGCATTGAAAGTGAAAAAGAAAAAGATTTTCTTTAGCATCAAACAGAAAGAATTCATGACGGATTTATTTTATTCATCTTGAAAGGATGCAAGAAGCAGCCATATTGGATTCAACGACATTATATTTTCCCAATAAATAGGCGAAATAGAAAAAAAAACGCCTACCTTAAACTACTTTTTAATAGCTTATATCCAAATTTGAAGCGTAAACAAAGCCCCAAAACATACTATGTTACAGTTTTACACTTGAAGTATTCATATGACGTCATGATGTTGCTATGAAGTTTATGTGCCAAAGAAGTCAACAACATTTTGTGGAATTTTTATTTTAAGCAACTATATGTCCAAATAAAAAACAGAAACAATATCTTTATTGACTATTGCATTAGAATGGATATAACTGTATTGTATTTTAAGGTTTGTGGACGTAAATCTAGATTTTACTGTTGCAATTATCCGTTTACCTAGCTCTGCTACAGGTCGCTAGGTAAACTCAATTTGCGACAGTAATATCTACGTTTTATGTCCGAAAAGGTTAAAATACAATACAGTTATCTCCTAAATAACCTAAACATGATTGCACCAATATGAGTTTAATATAATGAAATTTGCATGTACTTAGAAGGTGTTTTACTTTATTTTAAATATTTAAGTCGGACCAGCATTTTACCCACATTGCTTTATAAATAGCAAACTTTGTTGATCTGTATCAGTTAAAAACTAATATGCACAATCAGTTCTTTCTTCCCCCTCTGTATTCAATTACAAAATTAAATCTTTAAAAATGTAAAGATACATACTTGATTTTAGAAAGAAAAAAAATTGTAAAATTTTCGAAATTCGGTTACCATAGCAACCATTTTTATTAAATTTCATTAAACAAAACTATTTTTCTGGACTGAAAAATTTAACTGATCAATTTTGTTAAATTGTAAGAAATTTAATGCCATCTTTGTATTGTTTAAATATGGAAATTACTTGGATCATTATTGACTTGTAGAAAAATACAATTTACAGAATTTGAAAATCTTGTGTTTTTCATTCATTAAAAATATTTTTTGCAATTATTTGCCCATTGATTTTATTTTATATTCTGGAAGACCTATATTGGTTTTTTCTAAATATACCTAACATTTTACTAGGAGACGCTGCATTCAAGAAAAAAATTCACTTGAATACCCTGTATTTACGCATTTTTCACTGAAATCCAAATTTGCCATTTTAGCATATCTTTACTAGCTGGTAGCAAAATAACTGATAACGGTAAAAGTAAAACATATGTGAATTTCAAACAGCTTAAAGGTCAGTTATATTATATTATTCAGAAAAAAAGGATATGTTACACATAAATCAAGTACTAAACAGTGCAAATTGTCATTTTTTCACTTTTTCAAGAGTTAAAATATGACCTTTTATTGCTAAAATCAACCAATGTGGTTTCCATGGCAACCGGAATATTCCGGAACAATTTGTTGCCTTTTATTGCCTTTAGGTATGGTACTGGCTATTATATAAAAGTTTCATCAAAATATGATACCATGTGTGCCAGACCCTATTAGAATTTCTTTGGTGGTTACAGAGAATTTCTCTTAAATTCTAATAAATAATAAAACTTATTTTTGTCAATAAATGAACTTGTGTTTTTATACGTCCGTCAATTTTGACAGGACGTATCATGGTATACAAATGTCCGCCGTCCGTCCGTTCTTCCATCTGTCCATCGTAAACATGTTGCACTGTAACTTGAGAACAACTTACCTAAATTTCTTGAAACTTAGCATAGTTGTTTCTTATGATAGTCTGTATACTTATTGGTGAAAATGAGACCGTCAGTCCGTCCCATGATATTTTTGTCACATTTTTTTCAGGAACTACACATCCTGGTTTTCTCAAATTTGGTATCAAGGTTTATATATGAGAGCTATACCAGGTGATATGTTTTCAGATTCATCGCTAAACAACTTCCTGTTTACCCTATTTTTTTACTTTTAGCAGGGGTATCATTAGTGAGCAGTAGCTCAAAGATTCACTTGTTTATATTTGTGTTATATATATGTATATATATCAAATTTGAGGCAGACGTTATTCAAAATAAACTGTACAGCTATAAAGTTTACGATTTGTTGAGAGAGTACTAACAATTTTCTTTTTGGAATGATGATGGGCAAGATATAATTAAAACATATCTTGTATTCTTCTTGCCTGTATTGCACACATGTATGTATGTAATTAGTACCTGAAATAAATTCCTCTTTTCAGATAAGTGAAGATGAAGCATCTATATGGATTTCACAGTCTGATTCAGAAAATTATATGGTATTTTTTTTTAAGAATTACACAATAGAAAAAAATGATATGTATAGATTCATTATAAAAAATCAGTGCATACACAGAAAAAAACCCAAATTAAAACAGCCACATATAACATATATTTATATATCCTCATAAACATTTCCTTGTATGAAATATTTTTAGCCTTTTTTTTATACCTTGATAGTTCAGCTTTACAAACTCAATTTCAGTAAGTTGTTTAGACCCCCCCCCCCCCATCTATAGAAAAAAAATGAAAATATATATGCCCTACCAAGAAAATATTTTTTCTTCTAAGACCTAGAGAAAAAATTCTGTAGTAAACACACAGTCATTATACCCCCACAAACAAAGTTTTGGGGGTATATAGGAATCACCCTGTCAGTCTGTCTGTCTGTCTGTCCATATATCTTGTAAGCCCAACTCATCCTAAACAAATTGACAGATACTGATGAAACTTTACACAGTTGCAGTACACAACCTGAGGATATGCATGAAGGAAAAAAAAAATCCTGGTCCAAAATATTTCAAGGGAGATAATTGAACTTACTTAGTTTGATATTGCAATATGTGGTAACAGGTCTTGTAAGCACAACTTCTTCTTATCGGCTTGATGGATATTGATGAAACTTGACACACTTGCAGTACATGATCTGAGAATGTGCATGAAAGAAAAAAATCCTGGTCCAAAATATATCAAGGGAGATAATTGAACTAACTTAGTTTATTGAAGTTTATTGGAAGTGGGGGTATCCTTTAGTGAGTTGACTCACAGTTCTATGCAACTCTCAGAATGCTAGATACTATCCACTCTTGTTTCATCTAATTTACATCCCTCAAACAGAAAATGAGTTGTGACGACCCCAACAACCTATAATTTCACATTAAAATTGTACCCACCCCAACAGAAAAAAAAATCTTCAGCGTTCCATGCCATTGTCATTGATTCAAAACAGATGATTAAAAAAAGCAATCTGAGATATACAGGTATTTAAAAAAATGAAGTCCATTGCAATTCCTATTTTTTTAAAGGTTTATCTGCCATCATCTCAGATATCATCATGGAGTACAGAAAATGACATACAAAGAAACACCTTAGAGGAAATAAACAGTGCACTGAACATTATTGGTGAGGGAAAAATCAGTCCAATTACATACCAAATAAGGAAGGATGTTAACGAACTCAAACCAAGAACAGTGCGCAGCCTGAAGAGAAAAGCATCTGCTACTGTTCATGAAGCACTTGACTGTCTTGCACCATTTCAAGCAAATAAAGTTTGGCAACTCATAGATATGGACTTGGTAAATATATTGCCCTTGAAACATAAAAGATTTATGAGATTAATGTAATATATTTTAAACTTGGCCTATGTAAAATGTAGATTTCACATTTGCAATTTGAGTAATCAGTTACAACTGATAGAACATGGAATCTAACCCCCTTACATTATTTGTCAATGATGAATTGAATTAGTCTAAACAAACAATTTACATTTAAATGTCTTCCCAAAGGTCATTATGAAGCAACTGCTCTGAAACTATTTGAAACTTCTGGCAATTATTTGCTATCACATGTGGTTGGCCCTATTATATTAGCATTTTGATTTGCCAATTGTTTTAGGAGTTATGGAACTTTCACATTTTTTCTGGGTATTTCAAAATGCTGCATGCTTGGCGGAGAAGCAGCAAATACCAATTTCAAGTCTTTGGTTTTACCAGGCCGAGGGTCGAACTCACAACCTACCGCACTCAAGGCGATTACGCTAACCATTACACCACTGAGGCGGATACCCTTATTTGAGATTATGATTTTAAAATATAACTTAAATGTTAATTTTTGAAATGTTATTTCAGTGTTCAACACCATCACCTAAAGTAGATGAGCTGGTTGTTCAACTCTTCAAAGAATCAACTGACAAGTGTACCAAAAAGCAGTTCCTGTCAATGATCTCATTAAGTTACACAAAGCAGCAGCTGAGAGACATATTTCCTGGCATTAGCATATATGAGATTGACCAAGCCAGAATGCATGCAAAGACTTGTGGAAAAGGTATTACACTCTTCATAATCATTTCTGTATGTCTCTCTTAGGATAATACACCCACTCTTTGATCTACCAAAGTTACAAAAATAACAAATTGAGGGATTTTTTTTAAATACTGAAACCATTTATTTTTTATATTTTAAAAGTATCAATGTCATTTGCAGTGATTTTGAAAGGACACTGTCTGTCTTTGAATCAAATAAATGTAAGTGGTACTTTTCTCTTGACCAGAGAAAATCAAAGCGTGTATTTTAAAGATTCCTGTTTGCATGATTTCAGATTTATTTTTACATTCATAGCTTTTCATTATCATCCTGAGCTTTGGTTAATTTTGTTCTTAAAAGCAAGTTTTACTGAGTAATTGATTATACATACATGGCTCTTGAACTTCCTTTTTACTGAAACCTATATTTGTTGTATCATTTGTGAGCATAACATTGATTTGATATATTTCAGGTGTTCCACCTCCAAATAAAGAAAAATGTGTCCGCCAAAAAATGAATAAAGATAAGCTTGATCATGCACTAGATTTCTTCCTAAATCCTTCATTTCATCAGGTAAATATATTTTCATTATGTTGCCTGAGCATGTAGAAAGATCACTATCTGTCGTCTTGCATCTGCTTTGTAGTATGTGTCGTCTTCACAAAATTTTCTCAACAAGGTGTCAGAACAGTATTGATATATTTGGCTCGAAGATTTATCTTATGTGCTATACTGTGTGTAGTGATTTTTTTGCGGTTGCTCATCGAAGTCCTGCTGAAACTTGCTGTTTCTTGGCGACATACTTCTTCCATGGAAGACTCCCATCTAATTAATTTGTAAAATCTAATTTATTTGTAAGAACTATCTTTGAAACCATATGTTATATTCTGAATGTATTCATGATTTGAAGGCCTGCTAAACTTAAAAATTTTAAAATGATAATATTGATAAGATGACATAAAGATGAATACCTGACAAAATCTTGCATAATCAGTATTTAAGAATGTGATAGATTATGAAACATGCTTTATAGTAAAACTGTTAGGTGTCTAAGTATTTGTATTAAATATAATATAGTCTGTAATGTATTTATTTTTCAGGTAACTTCAGTTGGCACTAAGCAGATGCATTTACGAAATGGAGAAGTCATCACCATCCCACAGGTTGTAAGGACAGCATGTCCCTCAACACTAGTGACAATTTATCAATCATTCTGCCAAGAAACAGATTTCTCACCTTTGTCCAGAGCCACTCTTTTCAAAATTTTGGCTGCATGTCCTGCATCAAAAAGAACTAATTTAAAAGGACTGGATAATGTTGCAGCAGATGGTGCTTTAGGTTTTGAGACTCTATTATCAACTCTGGCAAGCATTGAAAGATATGTGTCAGATAATGACAAGCTAATACAACTTAAGGAATGCAGAGAGAACCTGTTAGCAGCAAAGCTTTACTTGAAAACAGATTTCAAGGCTCACATTAAGCAAAAGGATAAATGTGCTGATCACTGCATTAGTTTTGCCCTTTCTGATCCTATGGATCAGAAACATCAGCAGCTGTGCAGTGATCACATCCATGACACAAGTTGTGACAGGTGTGATTTATTCACCAACACTGTTCTGGAAGTCAAAAACCAGATAAGAAATTTAGGAGGTATGATACACTGTCAGTAAAACAAATACAGAATTACAATGTCAAAAATATTATTTTTATGCCCCACCTACGATAGTAGAGGGGCATTATGTTTTCTGGTCTGTGGGTCTGTTCGTCTGTCCGTTCGTCCGTCTGTCCCATGTCAGGTTAAAGTTTTTGGTCAAGGTAGTTTTTGATGAAGTTGAAGTCCAATCGACTTTAAACTTAGTACACATGTTCACTTTGATATGATCTTTAAATTTTAATGCCAAATTATAGTTTTGACACCAATTTTACGGTCCACTGAACATAAAAAATGATAGTCCTATGTCAGGTTAAAGTTTTTGGTCAAGGTAGTTTTTGATGAAGTTGAAGTCCAAACAACTTTAAACTTAGTACACATGTTCACTTTGATATGATCTTTCTAATTTTAATGCCAAATTATAGTTTTGACACCAATTTCACGGTCCACTAAACATAGAAAATGATAGTGCGAGTGGGGCATCCGTGTACTATGGACACATACTTGTTATTTGAATTTTTTAAAAATGATCATCAGTTTTATTCCCTAAAAATATCAGAATGTCTATATTGTAAATGTACAAGTTGTAATAATTTCATAACTGTGAGTCCTCAAATCAAAACAAACAAATATGTGACATACCTCACAAATTTGATATACAGTTTTTGCAATAACTTTACTCCAACACATCTCCTGAAAGCTGTAAATGTCTCCTTGATATATGCTAAAAAATTGATTGATGATTTACTCTGAAATATCTCTCTATATATCACATATATTATATATATCATGGTTTTAAAGTAGTGGTTTGTCATCAGTAATTAATCTGTAACTCAGTGCATCAACAACAGTGTCAGTGAGATAGATTTTAAAATTATTGTAATAAGAAAGTAAACTAAACTGAAATATTTTCTGACTATTGCAGATGAACTTCCACCAGATTTACTATCTGACATATACGGTGACATTGAATCAGCCTGTGGAAGAATAACAGATTGGAAAAGACACATTTTAAGAACCATCAACCAAGACAAAGGCCGCAGTGATCTTTTGAAGAGCCTTTCATCAGAACAAGCAGTCATAGTGATGGACTGGGCCATGAAATTCTTACCCATGTCTTTCAGGGAAAAACAAAGTGACTGGTTTGGGCAGAAAGGTATCAACTGGCATGTCTCTGTTTGTATTTATAAGTCAGAGAATGAAGAGTTGAAGGTTTGTATTATTTTTTTTATAAAAAAAGGGTTTTTGGGTATACCTCAATTATGACAAAACAGTACCACCCCCACCCCCCCAAAAAAATTTAAAAATTTAAAAAAATAAAAAATAAATGAAATAAAAATAAATAAAAACTTGTGGTACTGTGATCAGAGCTCACAAAATTATACCCCCGCTCCTTGCAAATTTCATGTTTTGGTATTGGGAACCCCAAAAATCAATTTGACAAAAAACAAAATAGGAGGTGCACAATGGCATTATATGATTAAGAATCTCAGAAAGTTTCATTAAATTATGATAAGTGGTTTAGGAGAATTTGCAGATACAAAATGTGTACCCCAATTATGAGGCAATGGAAAAGTCCATGTATTTGAAATAAAAAAAAAAAGATTTTGAACAAAATGAAATCGGAGGTGCACAATAGCATTATATCATAAAGAATCTGAGAAAGTTTTATTTCATTATGATAATTGGTTAGGCCAAATAAAAAAAAAATGTGTGTTTCCTATAACCTTACCCTCCCTATTTTTTAAGCTTTAAAATAGCCTACCCCAAAGTTTTTTTTGTCATTTTTCAATAAGCACTGTAAAAGTCAGAATGTCTCTCCCATAGACTAAATGTGAAAAAAATGGTAAAATAAAAAAAATCCCTACCTACCTACCCAGTTTTTTCAAAAATGTAATAGGAAACACACATATTATTCAATTTGGCCTTAAGGAGGAGTTGCGGATACAAAGTGAAACATATTGTATGGGACAGACAGATGAACGGACGGAAGGACGCACTTCCCCATCACTATATACCTCAGCTTTACAAAGAAGGGGTATACAAACGCAAATTGTACACAATGTGGTTCAAGATATGTATCTTTAAAATATGTCAAACACTGTTATCAATGCTTCTGTCAAAATATTAAGATATCTGGAAGCAAAAGATAAAAAAATCATAGGTCAATGAGGTATTATCCAATGATATTTGGCAGGAAAAATGTTATTTCTAGATTTTTTGTAACCTTGTCATTGACAAGTTTCATTTCTAAATAACTATTGAAAAGATTTTGTAAGATTATAAAAATGGCTTATTATTGAACAAGTAAAAGATTTATGATAACTTGGGGGTTAGCAGTCAAAAAAATTTATGACAGTCAAATGGATAAAACCTGAGGATTCCTAAAGTCTGACAAAAATTCCAAAACATGACTAGCAAACATCTTTTAAAAAATGTCTTTTCTATTTCAGCACAGAACATTTGCTCATTGTGTAGAGGCAACCAAACAGGACTGGTACACTGTGTCTGCACTTTTGGAGCATACTTTGCAGACCATCAAGAGTCAGTTGCCAAATATCAAAACTGTCTTCTTACGCAGTGACAATGCTGGCTGTTACCATTGTGGTAACCTTTGGTTCTCCATTCCTTTTATTAGTGAAAGAACAGGTATGCTGTATGTAGGTTAAGAATTTACCTTTGATAAGTATTTATAAAATGCTACCTGATTTTCTTATTTGATGTTCCTATCTAAAAATACTTTAATGCACACAAACAATTTATGGATGGATAGGAGTAGAACATGATAATAAAAACTGAATATTAAGGACTAGAGCATGATAATCAGATTGAAATATTGACCCAAACTTCGTACTAGTCTGACACACAGAGCTTAATTTTTATATGCAAGTTCATAAATTAACCGTCCATAGCAGATTGTTAAGAAACAATTGAAGAAATCTTTTGATGTATAGTTTTCTCAATAGGTTTTTTTTTGTAGGAGTTTATATAAGAAGATATGACTTCAGCGAAGCCCAAAGCGGAAAATCATACTGTGATGCCAAAATTGCACACATGAGAGGGAAAATCAGACAGTGTGTTTCAAATGGAAAAAATGTAGTTTGTGCTTCGGATATGAAGTCTGCAATAGATGACTATGGGGGAGTTTCTGGATGCCAAGCAGCTCATGTGGAAATCACAAATATTTTGGATGATCATAGAGCAACTGGTCTTATTAAAGGAATTTCCAAAATATCCAACATAGAATTTCAAGAAAATATGCAAATAACTATGTGGAAAGCATATGGTATTGGCCAAGGGAGAAATATATCTGTTCAGGGACAAATGAACAGTCAAGATGAAAGGTTGGTACAATTTACTAAACATAATAATATTTTGCATGGTATATGTTATTAGTGTCTTTCAGCTGCCTAGCAAATGTGCCTATCCTTACATTGATTTGGATAATAGGTTATTTGTCTATGATGTTGTATAGCATGAAAACAACGGGGTCCCCCTTTTAAGTGAATTAGTAATTCAAAAGAATGGATTCGGGTATTTAAATTCATGACACAAAATCAATTCATGGACCACTATACACAATCTACCAAATGAATGATAATGATGTAGATGTAAGCAGCTATAGGTCACAGTACAACCTTAAACTATTGACAAAAATTCCTTCTGTTTAGATAGTTTGACATTATGTATGTGAAGTTTCATATAATAACAACTGTTAAAACAAAATCCAATATGATAAATAGCAATTAATGACTTGAGACCATATTGGTTATGTCTCTGTTCACAAAATCATGTTTTATTAAAATACATACATGTATAATCATGAAAAAATTTATAAAAAGATGATTTTGAATTTTATAAACTTTTTTCAGGTCATTGAAAGTGATTGCTAATTTTAAACCTCCAATGAAGGTGGAAGGATCCATAAAGCAGACTTCTTCAGGTGATGGTTTCGGTTGTCAAGAAGGTTGTGTTTAGACGTTTACATCATTTATGGATATGCATATGCATTGTTTGATTGGTGACCACAACTACAATCTTCAGCAATTGTCAACTTATGACAAGATTAAGCTCAGATGGTATGATGCTTGTATAAACTTGTCTGACATATTGAATTTTAGTAGAATTGATGGTTCGCAACCTAATATCTCACAAGATATATCAAAAGAACAACAAGGATGGGCCTTAAAAAAAGAAAAGAAGCATGTGAGATTTTCAGACAAAGTTAAGTTGTATTTGAAGTCAATATTTGAAGATGGTGAAAAGAGTGGGAACAAGATGAATGCTGGCACTGTAGCAAGAAATATGAGAGTTGCACTGGAGAATGGTACCAAAATGTTTTGTAACAGTGAATACTTGAATGCTTGTCAAATTACATCCTACTTTTCTCGGTTAGCTGCAGAGAAAAAAATGCCATCAAAGTGTTCCGAGGATATTGACAGTGCAGTAGCTCTTATCGAGAGATTTGAAGCCATTGAAGAAATAACAGCTTTAATCTAACATTGATTTTCTTAATAGTACTGTGTAATTTGTGTTCTCAGTTGTGTCATTTATACTGAATGCAGATCTACTACAGTTCTTTTTAAGTTACACATTGTTTTAACACAGTTATATATAAAAGCATAATTACAAAATTATAAAGCTAAATTCATTTTTTGAATAGAATAAGTTGACAACAAATTTTGTCATTGTAAACCATATTTTTATTTATACTGCAATCGTTTTATTTGAGCAGTCAAAATGCATTGGCAGTATATTTTTATGTGATATACAGTCACTGACCGTATATCACCTTGTTTGTGACGTTAACAATGTGTTTCCATAGAGTTTTATTTATGACGTCAATGAATAATACAGGTTCGCAGAATTTTGACGTCGTCCACTTCAAATTCAAAATATTGGTTTTTACCCAAAATATTTCATTTGTAAGAAATTTTAGAGTTGCAGTATAAAGAGAATAACCATACATTGTCTCACGATATACATTTTATTTGTACTCGGCTCGAAACAGGATAGAAATGCTCAGCAAAGCCTCGATTTCTTCCTGTTTCTAAGCCTTGTACAAATAAATTTTATATTTTGAGACAATGTATGGTTATTCTATATATATAGGGTTAGTAATCATTATTCTCATTTACAATCCTTTATTGTCCACATGCAGAAAAACAGGAAAACTAATTTTATATTAATTTAGACATGTAAGGATAAATTGTGCAAAATTACAGTAAAGATAGTGGCAATAAGTGTGGTCAGAGCTAGCGATGACTTTTTACAGTCTATACAATGTCCTTGTAAATTTAGGTCTTGTTTATAGAGGATTAATTATTATGACTGCATGTATAAGTAAATAAAGTACAGAAAATATTTTTGTTATTGATATTTTAATGTACAGATTGCAAAATTTGCAAAGTTAAAACTGAAATTTGTTTTGGCTCCAAGTAAATAAAAAAAAATGACTTGAAATAGATTTAATTATACATATAAATAGTATGCATTTTTCTAGGCTGTGTAGAAATTTACTTCTGCCCATGATTTGATTCTTATTTTAAGAGACTACAAGTATATTATGAAAAAATATCAAAATCAAAAACAAATCAAAATTATTGGCAAAATAACCCCCTTTTTTTTAAAGAAAATTCTTGGTAATATTGCCTTATAAATGAAAGGTCAATGCCCTTTTCATATAATTATTAAGTTTTCAGTGTGGACACTTGTTATATTCCATTTAAAAAAATTTGAATGGAAGAATAGGGGTTTTAGAAAGGAAAAATTAAATACAAAAAATTAAAATGTTGATAAATTATGGCAATTGTTCCAAATAAAAAGGGGTCATCTGATATTGCAAACAATAAGTTAATACAATGCACATGAAAAACAGATTGTCAATAGGCTTAATAAGTAAAATCATGTGCCAAAAATTATTAAAACGGTTGTTTTTTTGGCCGGAAAAATGTCCAAAAGAAAACAATTTGTTTTGTTATGTTGCTATGGAAAATTTGGTTACCATGGTGACTTTATGGAAATTTTAAATAATTTATTTACTCATTAAAATACATAGTGAATATGAAAAGTTGAATTGATAAGATATTAAGACATATTTTCAATTTGAGTATGTAATAAATGTATGTTTTGTATGGTTCTGTTTCCACCAACCTGAAAAATGGATCGTCCTATGGTTGCCTAGCAACGGAAACACTGAATGTTTCCGACTCATTGGAATTTTGTTTTATGAAGTCAAAGTACCAATAGTTGTTGACATATGCATGATATTAAATGATCTTTCAGATAACTTGAGAAAAGGACCAATGAATATGTTGTAAAATTTCGAAAGTGTCAATAAATTCTAAGAATTAAAACTATGTAATGCTTGGCTAGCAGTCAAATTATTGTTTGAGAATATCTGTCTATGATATATGCCTAATGTATTATGCTTATATGTATCTTTCATGTAATAAATTACATTTTTACTTAAAGCATGAATTTTTGTTTCTAATCTCACTTAAAAATTGGTGATTTTTCTGATTTTGCTCAAAAAATCAAACCAAGTTGCTATGGAAACTAAATAGCTTCATTTTGCCGAGCAAACAAAGACTGATGAAAGTTTCATTTTGAATGCTAATTTAGACCATCAATATGAAGTGTTATGCAAATTTTTATCAAAATCTGAGATCATCAGTATGCCACTGTTTGGATGATTCTGAGGCAGACAGCTACTTAATAATGTACCTCTTTTTTCTTCCTTGGTGCATTTACCAATAACATAGTCCGTGATGATTGTTTCATAGACATTACGTAGACTATTCTGATTTGAAACGATAAAATCCATTTATTTCACATTTAATTGGCTTATCAAAGCTGTTTACAAACCCGACATGTCAACAAGGGCCTCAGTGGCAATTTTTTGGGAGTTCATTAACAATAAGGTCAAGTTTTTGTGAATGGGCTATGTCACAGATTTTGCTAAAATTTTGCATACAACTTTGAACTATAACTGATAATCGAATAAACAATGCATTTATCTCTGTTATCATCTGAAATATACCCGATTGAATTCACAACGCCATCATAACTGTCATATATTTGTTATGTTTGAGGATCTTGGACGAGAATTGTCGGGGACACTACAAGGTACATTTTCTCATTACAGAAAGTGGGAGGCTAATGAAGCTACATTACGACTTAAAATTTACCATTCACAGACGTTAATTCAAACTCTTAAAGAGGTTTAGATTGAACGAAGACAAATTGTCATTACCGATGACCGAATGATTTTCATAGAAATGATTCCACAAGAAGTATTTGCATATTGGTCAACTCACTGCTATTCTTCTTCAAGGACTACCAATATTTTGTCACAGTGAAGCCCATTAAATAATGTATGAAAAAATAACCAACAGTCCTGAAGATTTGCCAAAGATCTTGAGGAAAGCTTTTGATCAGGTATTTTAATGTCATCAGGGTTAACTTAATTGTGTGAAATGTTTTATTGTTTTGTTTCTGGTGAGAAGCACTGAAACAAAAGATAACCATACTTCCATTGCATTGTAGTACAAAATGTTCTTATCATTTAAGGTAATTTATACCTGCTGAATGTGTTTTTGCTTTCATGATTTTAAACTGACAGTTAAGTTTTTATTTGTACACAAGACAAAATTTTAAATTTGTTTTAAGCAGCAACAGATTTAGTACAATTTACATCAGTTGCACTGGAATGACAGCGTCGATCCATCTACTTCAAATGGCAGAAAGACTCACCAGCTGACCTTGACTTCTGTGTTATAATTCTAGCAGATAGATTGAAACCAAGTTCACTGTGTAAATTACTTTATCCATTCAGAAGGGTACCCAGCTGTCCTGTTTGGAGCCTTTTCCGTTACATACAAACAGAGGATGCGCTGTCCACCTAAGAAGATGTTTTTTTTGGGTACCAAGTCCAGTCCAGATTTTGTTATTCTCAAAAAGAAGACCAATCAATGCCTCCATGTTGCTAACCATGATTTGACTGCAGCTGATCTGAAGTCAAGCAAAAACAAAGGAATGGTTGAATGACCAGTATTTGACACTTATTTATGATCTCACAATACTCAAGAAATACAACATATTAAGGTAGATTCGGTGTCTTGCATTTTGAAATAGCAGAAGCCAATCAGTATATAATAAAAGGAAACAACAAAAAGGGACCTCTAATTACAGGATCAATTACGAAAATTGGCAAACAGACGATTATTAAAGAGATTCAGGATGGTAGAAATAGGTTTTATTTAAACAAGCAAAAACAATACTTCGGTTGTGTGTATACCTTCCAAAGAGACGCAACTGATGTTCAAGAGATGACTACCAAGCAATAGTAGATGAGCTCGCCGAGATTATTCACAACTATGTTGACTCTCGTACAATTTTTCTTGGAAGGAGAAATGAATTCTTCACTTCATAGTAACAATATCATTAATAAATATAATTTGCCAGTTTCTCCTAAGCAGCCTACTGGCAATGTCCTGCATGCACACTTCGAAAATGCAAACAGTGGTGACCTGTACATGTCAAACGCCAGATTAACAGCATTTCGAGTGAGATTAACAGATTAAACTAAAACAGAAATTAAGATTTCTTGATTAACTGAGAACATAATCATTTGATTTTTAATTTTTCTATTTATTTTTCACACTTAACATACATCACTTGATGGAATAACACAACACTGTATATCAGATTTAGTTCTTTTTGTTATTTCATACATTTTCCTTAATAAAATGAGTGATGTTTGGAAAGCATTACTGTAAAAGTGTTCCATTGTTGTCAAAAGATCAATGGATACCTTGTCATGATTAAATAACAGATAATTGAACATTATCATAAAACACTAATTAGTTTGTTTTACATTAATCTTTTCATCATTTTGACACTTGGTCATAGATTAAGCTTTATGCTAATTATATAATTAGGAAAGAAATTTTAAGTAAGTATTATGATTGAAATGATAAAAATAAAAAAAAACGTATATTTATAAAAGTAAAGTTAAAATTAGGTTAAAAAAAGTATCAAACTTCATCTCTGTAATTTCTTTTTAGAGAAAACGTAAGAGATGGATATCTTGAAACATTAAAACCAAAGATAGAAGAGCAATCAACTTGAATAGGTTTTGTGAAACAGACGGGTAGTCAGAAATATCATTTGAAAGTGTCCAGGCCTGATAGAATGTGCATGAAGGAAGAAACCTTTTGAAACCCTTAATGTGCATTAAGGATGAAATCTTTATAAACCATTATGATGTTAAAATGTAAAATTCGTATTGAATAAACGTACTACATATCTGCCAAAATTCAATACAGTTACTGAATATGCTAGAATCGTTTGTGACTTCATGTTGTTGTTTAAAATGTTTGATTATTCTTTTCATTTGATAAAGAAATTTACAAAATGTAATGTGTAATTCAATGCATTACTTTGCAAAAGTAGTTGTAATTTAATGCATTACTTTGATAAATGCATGTAATTGTAAT